TGGGCTTAAGCAATTCTCTTGCCTCAGCCTCCCAAGTAGCTGGGACTACAGGTGCCCACCACAATGCCCAGTTATTTTTATTGTTTAGCTGGCCAGGGCTGGATTCGAACCCACCAGCTTTGGTGTATGTGGCTGGTGCCACGCCAACACCTAGCTATTTTTATTTTTTGAGACAAAGCCTCAAGCTGTCACCCCGGGTAGAGTACTGTAGTGTCACAGCTCACAGCAACCTCCAACTCCTGGGTTCAAGTGAGTCTCCTGCTTCCACCTCCCAAGTAGCTGGGATTACAGGAACCTGCCACAACACCCAGCTATTTTTTTTGTTGCAGCCGTCATTATTGTTTGGCAGGCCCAGGCTGGATTCGAACCCGCCGGCTCAGGTGTATGTGGCTGGCACCTTAGCCCTTTGAGCCACAGATGCCAAGCCTATTTTTATTTATTTACTTATTTTTTTGAGACAGAGCCTCAAGCTGTCACCCTGGGTAGAATGCCATGGCATCACAGTTCACAGCAGCCTCCAACTCCTGGGCTCAAGCGAGTCTCCTGCCTCCTCCTCTCAAGTAGCTGGGACTACAGGCACCAGCCATAACGCCCAGCTATTTTTTGGTTGCATCCATCATTGTTGTTTGGCAGCCCGGGCTGGATTCGAGCCTGCCAGCTCAGGTGTATGTGGCTGGCGCCTTAGCCGCTTGAGCCACAGGCGCTGAGCCTCTTTATTTATTTTTAGATCCAGAGTCTTGCTTTATCACCCTTGGTAGATTGATGTGGTGTCACAGCTCACAGCAACCTCCAACTCCTGGGCTTAGGTGATTCTCTTGCCTCAGCCTCCAGAGTAGCTGGGACTACAGGCACCCACCACAACATCGGCTATTGTTTGTTGCTGTTTGGCCAGGGCCAGATTCAAACCTGCCATCCTCAGTATATAGGGCTGGCGCCCTACCCACTGAGCCACAGGCACTGCCCCCACCTGGCTATTTTTAGAGGTGAGGTCTTGCTCTTGCTCAGGCTGGTCTGGAACCTGTGAGCTCAGGTGATGCACACTTTTCAGCCTCCCACAGTGCTAGAATTAAAGGCATGAGCCACTGCGCCTAGCCTCTGACACAATGTTTTTATAAAGAACAAAAGAATTTGCTTTGGCTTTTGCCTCCTGATGATCTTTGGCTTTGCCTAAACCATTTTCTATCTGCCTCCCTTTTTTTTTGAGACAGAGTCTCAAGCTGTTGCCCTGGATAGAGTGCCAAGGCGCAATAGCTCACAGCAGCCTCCAACTCTTAGGCTCAAGCAATCCTCTTGCCTCAGTTTTTCTATTTTTAGTAAAGATGGGGTCTCACTCTTGCTCAGGTTGGTCTTGAACTTGTGACCTCAAGCAGTCTACCCACCTGGGCCTCCTAGAGTGTTAGGATTACAGTTGTGAGCCACCATGCCCAGCCAGGGCCTCAAGACTTTTTTTTTTTGAGACATTGTCTTACTTTGTTGCCCCCGGTAGAGTCAGGTGGCATCACAGCTCACAGCAACCTCAGACTCCTGGGTTCAAACGATTCTCTTACCTCAGCCTCTCAAGTAGCTGGGACTACAGGCACCTGCTATGCTACAATGCCTGGCTATTTTTTTTAGAGGTGGAGTCTCGGTCTAGCTCAGGCTGGTCTCGAACTCTGTTAGCTCAGGCAATGCACCTGCCTCAGCCTCCCAGAGTGCTGGAATTACAGGTGTGAGCCATCGTGCCTGGCCCCCCCCCCCTTTTTTTTGTGAGACAAGAGTCTCCTCTGTTGCCCTGGCTAAAGTGCTATGCCATGGCATCAGCCTAGCTCATAGCAATCTCAAACTCCTAGACTCAAGGAGTCTTCCTGTCTCAGCCTCCAGAGTAGATGGGACTATAACCACATACCAATATAATGCCCTGCTAAATTTTTTTTTTTTTTAGAGACAGAGTCACTTTATCGCCCTCAGTAGAGTGCTGTGGCATCACACAGCTCACAGCAACCTCCAACTCCTAGGCTTAGGCGATTCTCTTGCCTCAGCCTCCCATGTAGCTGGGACCACAGTGCCGACCACAACACCCGGCTATTTTTTTGTTGCAGTTTGGCTGGGGTTGGGTTCTAGCGCCCCACCCACTGAGCCAAAGGTGCTGCCCTGCCCTGCTAATTTAGAGACAGGGTCTCAATCCTGCTCAGGTTGGTTTCAAACTCCTGACTTCAAGCAATCCTCCCTCCTTGGCCTCCCAGAGTGCTAGAATTACAGGCATGAACCAACACACCTGGCCAGCATTAAACTTGTCCCTCAGCCCAAGATTCTAAAATGCTTGGCTTAGCCTCTGGTCTCAGCTTCAACTACAGATTTAAAGAGAGGCTAGCACCTGTCCCTGCCTTTTGGGCACAAGGTGTATTGTCCAGGGTGAAGTTCCCCAATATAGGACTCTGCCCAGTTAGCTTGGAAAATGCATCTAATGTGATACTATGCTGCACTGTAGCCTGGCCCGTGTGTCCTACAGGGCAAGTGTTTGAATGGGAACTTCTGTGATTGCTTCTCTTCCTTCACCCTGTACCTAGTAACCAGTTGGAATCCCAGGTGGCCTGTCCTATTTCCATGTCCTGACCCAAGGCTTTAAGAAATAGCTCTGGCAAAACATACAGTGCACGCAAGGTCTAGGCTTTTTCCTGAGGCCTGTCCCCTACTATGTACCTTTTCTTTAACTGAGTCACCACCACCTTACTCCCAAGGGATCTCTCCCGTGTCTTTTTTTTTTTTTTTTTGTGAGACAGAATCTCATTTT